TGTCACAGTAACTGATCTGACACAGTAAGTCGTCGTCTACTTCAGTCCGGGTATTTTGCCGATTTTCAGACCATTTTCAAGGCAGTTGATGTGCTGTTAAGCACACGTTCCTTTGCAAGCATCATGAGAAATATTGTCTGCGCGCTTCGCTTTTCGCAAGTGCTTTTACAAAATGCAGGTCGTTTGTGTAGGTCAGTCTAAAGAACTTTCCCCTGAAGAGCTAATCGCAGTTAAAAAGCGAAGGCTTAAACGTATTATAACATTGAGATTGAAATGAAGAACCATTGTCTACAGATGGCAAAGTATAATCCATGCACGCAGAAATCTGTTTCACCGGTACATACTCTTCTGATTAAACGGTGTCTATCAGTATATACGAATTTCTGTTAAGATGTGTTTCATATTAATTTCCCACAAAAATTAGCGTATATGTTCTATTGTACTTAATAAATTGAGTGGTTTTGTTTTTGTCCGCATATCTAACCACCGATGAGGAACTAATGTAGCCAAATAATCAAATTTTCGGCAACTACAAACATGAAACCTAAGTTTGTGTCCTCCGTGAGAAATGGTTTATTTTTCCCAATTGAAAGCCTTTTGTAGAAATTTACTTCATGTTGATTAGAGAAGACGTTAAGGACCTGACATGGAACTAATAAACAACCAAAATATAAGAGTTACTTACCCTCGCGTCAGATATCGGCGCATTGTTCGTATTGCTCTTAAATTGCATTGGTTAAATCCGACAAGGTCTTTCCAGCCGTACGACGCCAGCGACAAGTGCATGTAACGACGAATTCGCGTAATGTGAAGCCAGTCGCGACGAAGGCGTTCCCGTGGGGTCATGGATGTCGGGTCAATTGGCTTTATGAAAATCATGTATGTTATTTAACATACTTAGATTCATTAAAAGACTGGGGGTAATTGTATGCACTTATCCACCACGTTAATGTTAGGGAGGATACCGGTGGAAAGGGCTACACACTTCACATTTTCTTTGAGAGGAATTAGCTTTTTAAACTGCCTTTACTGTGTTACCTCGCTTTCTAAGTGGCAAACTACTTTCCGTCTGAATTGCGACAACGATATGTAAATACACCTTAAATAATTAAACTTAACGGTATACATCAAACTCATCAAACTTTTATGAAATTTAACATATCAAAAGAAGGTAGATATGGAACACACAGGCATCATTAGTATTTAGGAGAGTTAAAAAAAATGCGCCGTCCGCCAAATGCATGTGCTTTCAAGTGCTGGTTGATCAAATGTTAAGCCTTTCTGTATAGTGAATTAGACATTCCGAGTGAACAGGCAGGACACGGATTGAAAGACATATCTTTCATATTTCTTCAGCGTTGATGCATTTAAAGACACTCTATTTAGGGTATGGCCCAACACATGACGGCCACTATTATCTTAACGACAAAAGGTATTCAATTGTAATAGGTTGTGGCGATGTCAAAGTAAGTGCTTAAACATTTTATAGATTTATTCAAAAAAATATTTTTCCATGAAATACCTCAGCGGCCACATCAGTGGTTATAGGATCAGTGTTTTCCAGAACGTATTGAGCATTTAAGGCTGAAACTTGCCCGATCCACTGCTGTGACTGCCATCTTAGAAGCAGAAGGCCCATGAAAATGTCGGATTTCGTCAGGTCCAGATCCTGTCAAGTCAGGCAGCAAAAAGCTTTTGTGAGGGAGAAGTCATGAATGACAGCACTCAACTTAGTTTATTCTAGAAAAGTTTTTTATTCTAACCCATCAAAATGTACGGGCTTTAGTTACTGTTTTATTCAAATTTAGCCATGTAGTGCAAATAAGCACCTACAACTGAGGTGCGGGAGAAAGTCTACAAAATCGACCAGCTTTTATGCAGGGAAGTCTGTATTTCAACCCCATAGGAAATAAAAGGTTTGACTTGTTGATTTTTTCTACGTGCAAACGTGGACAAGGCTAAATGCACATTATCAAAAAATAGTTGCGAGTATTGGCTTAACACTGCCTTGCGAAAATTGGCAATTTTATGTTGTTTTAAAGTGTATATGCAGATCCTATAAGCAATTTGCATGCCAAGCAAAATATATAGAACTTTTAAAATTGTAAACAGCTTTCAAACACACGGCCGAATGCATGCTATTAAGAACATGCGAGATTGACAGCTGCTAGCGTTTCAGACGCTAAAAATACTGTCTATAAAATGCGTAAGAGTAAGCTTAATCAGATTAAAAAATATATCAATTTTAATAAAAGGGTTCATTCAAAAATAAAACTCGGTATTTTTCAAATGAATGGGCGCCAGTATTTACCGACATGTAATCGGCAATAGTTGATGCAACTTCATCTATTGCCTGTTCCTTCATTTCTTCTTCTTCGGTTTCAGTCAACCCAGCCACATTTTTCCGAACAAAATGCGTCCATTTCCTCAGATAAATCGAATGCATCTTCTCCAGAAGTGTTTCCATGCATTCTGTAAATGTATTACTCGACTTCTTATCATAGTAGAAAGTATTGAAGAACTTGTATTTTTCCGCACCGTGTTTGTCGTAATTACCCACCCAGCCAAGGACAGCAAATAATATAGCGGCTATGTCGATGGCGCACCAACAGACAACTGCGACTAGCGATGGCTAAATAAAAATAAACATAGATAAAGGCCAATTTGATTTGAGCATCTACAAATCAAAAATAGGTGAGATGTCTGAAAACATGGTAAAATGATTTGCTTGCTACTGGATTTTGTAGGTCGGGACCTAAGTATACAAACAGGAAAGTAGCTGTATAATCCAAAGGAAGAGATACACCAAATTTATAAAAAAAATCCAATTTAATAGAAATCTAGCGTCTAATGTCGTGTACATAATCCACGGATAAACACATGATTTTAATTAGGTACGCTGACATTTTTATCAACTCCAAACTTCAAAGCCAAGAAAGTTAAGAAAGCGGGTCTGATAGGCAATGACTTAATTTAACAGCACACAAAGACTGCTGTGAGGGCACGGAGTTCCCGCCTGCGTAACAAAGATACTTCTTTTATGCTGCTTTCTCTACGATATTTACTTCCAGAAAGATTTATTATACCC